CGGTGTGGCTGCGGCCTGCAGCGCTAATGCAAGACCAGGGCCGGCCGAGGTAACCAGTCCCACGGTGCCTTTATTGGTAAGAAGCCTCTCTGCTTATCTTTTTTTCTTTTTTTAGCAAAGCTAGCCCTGTGCAAAGGCCCAGTGGGCGGGACCCCGAAATGATTTTCCGGAGGAGAAGGGGTCGCCCATAATCAACTGCTGTCTTGTTTCTTTGAAAAGAGGCCCACCTCGTCCTGCATTTCATTTGATTGTTTTTTCACTTAAAGTGCTAACGCACTCTTCTGTCACGAGGCCACAAAGACATGCAGGAGTTGAAGAGGGTGCTGACTGTGTGGACATTAAAAGAGGTGAGGTGACGTAGGTGGTAGGGCTCAGTTAGTCCAGGCAGGGAAGGGCAGGCTCATTGGTCCACTGCTTGTATGTCTCGTAGCATCCCACCGGCCCACACCGGTAAGCAGCAGACGAAGGGAACAATTGATTCCTTCTCCCTAAAGATGACTAGGATCTAATTTGAGGAGGATCACATTTCAGTGTGTGCTGCTCTCGCGTGAGGCCACGGGAACAGCCCGTGGCCGTGGCAGCAGCTCCCTGGTTCCCACGAGCACTGGCAGTCTGGACGCATCCCCTCCGTGGGCAGCACTCAGGACCCCCCCCAGGCCCCAGGTCCCCCTCTGCCACCGGCCTTCCGAAAGGCCAGGTACCGCGCCAGAGGATGCCTCAGGCTCAGAAGCAGCTCTGAGTGGCTGGGGCATTTAGTGTTGGGTGTTCCTCAGAACCTCCCCTGCTCCTTACCTCAGAATCGGGGGCCGCCTGGCTTGGCCAGGGGTACAGATCGTCTGGTACACTACCCCTCTTCCCATAAAGGCCCCCCACCTACCACATCAGAACACCCCACTCTGCGGACAGGTCCCCTCGGGCACAGCCCTGACCGTCCTGCCTTCGTCCTGCGCCTGCCACCCCAGCCTCCATCTAGGCTTTCTCCTGGGCCCCTCACCTTCTCTTAGGTCTGCCCTTCCTTTGTCTGAACCAGCGATTTCAACCAGTGCGCCACGAGAATTTTTACAACATGCGATACCTAACTGTTCAGTCAGGGGCACGGACCTCTTTTCCCGTAGGTCGCCGAGTAAAAAAAATGACAACAGCCAACACAATAGCCGCCCAGCGCAAATGAATCAAAATTATACCTAGTCTTTTGTCAGATCAGCAAAAAACACATTTTTTGTTGTGCCACAGAATTTTAGTAGTTAACGTGTGCCGTGAGATGAAGAAGTTTGGAAATCGCTGGTCCAACCCAAAGCCGCCGTCCCAGGCCCTCCGGCCACCACCGCTCGGATGAGACAGGTGGACTCTCGTCCCAGGGCCACTTTCTGACTCCCTGGCCAACAGGCAGCGGAGTGGCGCTGGGACTGTTTTGTCCTGCGGCCCTGAACGGAGAGCCGGGATCCGAGAGGGAAGAGCTGAAGCTCCCTAAGTACGTTGAAGGTTTGACCCCCAGAGGGTCAGGGTTCACCTGGTCACTTCAGGTTCAGTTTCCGGGTTCAGGTTCAGTCCAACCCTGTGGCATCTCTGGGCCACACTGGAAGAAGAAGAGTTGTCTTGGGCCACACATTAAATATGTTGTGACGTGTAATCACACAAAAAATTCTCATATTGTTTTAAGTAAATGTGTACGATCCTGTGGTGGACCCAACTCCCAGCCATCCCGGGCCGCATGCAGCCCGCAGGTCGGACACGCCTCTCTCTGTTACAGACAGGAGGCAACAGGGAGGGGTTTGAATTTTCCCACCTGTTTCTTAGAAGTCCGAAATATTTTTGGTTATATTACTCAGTGTGCTCGAAGAACATTAGAAATGAGAAGTGTTCGCTTTATAGGGAGTCCTAGAACTCAAAGGAAATGAGCTTCATTTCCCAGTGTTTTCTAGGATGTCAGTTTCAGTTGCTGTGCACGTGGTATTTTTAGAGGGAGGGATGCTATTATTTTTAGGAAATATAAAAATTTCCTAAATGTCTGGAAGCTTTTGGAAATGACTGGCCTGCCGCAGGGACAGTATCACCCAGCACCCTTGGGTGGGGAAGTCCACTGGGCCCCGGGAAGCAGGCGGGGGGTGGGGAGGGTGGGGCGCTGAGGGGCGGGCGGAGACGCGGAGCACGGCGTCGTCACTCTGTGCTCTTCTCCCAGGCCGGGCACTTGCCGAGTAGCCTCGGGTTCTGTCTGGGAGATGACGCATTTTCAGAGCAGCAGGAACTCTGTCATTCAAAGTCCACGCTGACACCTGTACCGGCCAAGTAGGGACGCCTTTCGGACTGGCTCCCGTTTTAGGGTTTTGCTGTTGTTTTTGTTGTTTGGTTGTTTGGTTGGTTGGTTGGTTGGTTGGTTGGTTTTACTGCAGGTCTCAGTGAAGTTAGATTGTATGGAGACTATAATTGGTTTATCTGTACACAAGCAAGACATGAAATGCGGCGCTTGCTTGAGCCACGAGGTTCCGCTGGGCCGGGCCGGGGAGCCGGAGTTGGAGTGAAGAGATGCTAGTGACTCTGAGGCCTTTGGAAGCGTTCGTCCTCGCAGCCGCCCCTCAAGTAGCTGGTATCATCCCCTGCCGACAGGCAAGGGACTAAAGGCTCGGAGAAGTGAATGGCTTGCCCAGCCCCCCCTCAGTTCAAGTCGGGTGGGTGTGTGGCCCGGCCACATTTGGCCTCAGTGCCGCCTGGCTCCTGAGCCTGTCCCTACTACAGCAGGTTGGTCTCACTGCGCTGAGAGGGGTTTCCTGTCATCTCGTGCCACAGCCTGTGGGAGCGAGGAAGGGGGACGGGGACGCGCCGAGGCCGTGTGGAGTGGCCCTCGCCCTCCCCACGCGGTCCCCTGCAGAGTGGGGCAGAACTCGGCAGAGGAGGGTACGCGGCTCGGTGTGGTTTTGGACGTGGGCCCTGGAAATGGCAGCCTGGGTGGGGCAGATGGGAGACGGCCATTCTGGCCGTCCCTGTAACAGTCTGGGAGTGTGTTGCGGGGAGCGGGGAGGGCTTGTGCTGCATTCCTCCTACCAGCCACACACTGGTGGAGCCCCGCAGCTCAGTGGGGCGGGGAAGGGGGGTGCCGTGCAGAACCGCCAGGAGCTCGCCCCCTGCCGTCCTCACTGTCCGCACCTGAACCCCAGAGGGCTTCCCACCAGCGAGCTCCCTTCGCCCGGGCAGGCTGCCGCACTGAAGCGCTTCACCCCGTGTTCTTCCACGTGCCTCGTGGCTGCGCTGCTTCCCCCGCACCCTCCACGGCTACTAGGGAGAGGATCGCTGGAAAGGATCCGCCACGTCAGTGCCATTTGGGCAGATTCGCTCACCAATTTCCATTTTTCCGGAAGAGCGAAAAGGGGGAAAAAATCATCCGCTTTAGCTAACTTTATTTTTAGAAAAGTGTTTTATTCAAACATCCCCTTACTTATTACAGACATAAATACATGCATTCAGACAAATGAATCCACGGGAGAACCGTAGAAAGTAATTGGCATATCACTTCAGGATGCTTTGTCAGTTACTGGAGGAGCTCAGTACCTCTAACTTGCATCTTCCCCATTAAAATATCCATTCTGCCTTCACACTGAGAAGCGCATAATATTTTAGGCTGTCTCCGCGGATCGGTTAGTTTTGCTTGTCAGTTTAATTTGTGGCTCCGTGACTTCGGGTGGCTCGTTAGGTTACACGTAGAAACACGTGACCTGCACACGGTGCTCGGGTCAGGCTGGAGACCTGGCCTCTTCCCCGGGAGGCCGGACACGCAGCCGGCCAGGGGAGGGGCTGGCAGGTCTCCTTCACAACCAGCCTCGGCGCCACAGCGGCGGTGACGACGGCGCTGGTGTGTGTGCGCGTGCAGTGGCCGGTGCTTAGAGCTGCAGAGAAGCTCACCGCTGCTGTGATCACGTACCTTGCACGTCTGCAGCACCTTCCACTCTTCACAGCACTTCTGAGCTCCACCATCTTGTTCGGTTCTCGGAGCTTCCTGCTGCCGGATCGTTATTTTCTCTTCATAGCTAGTGACACAGAGGCAGAGAGAGAGAGAAAGGTTCAGTAACTTGTGCAGGATCGAAGTGTACCTTGGATCGCAAAAGTACCAGAGGGTGAAACCAAGTGTCACGAGAGCCCAGCTGGGGGCGGTGTGCGCGGCAGCCTGTGCCGCGGCGTCTCCGTTGCCCCTGCCCCGCCCCCACAGTGGGGAGAGGAGCTCTGGCGCTGTGGAAACGGGCTGGAGTCGGGGTGAAGGGTCCGAGAAGCAGAAGGTGGATCCTCGGCCCCACGTGAATGACCACGGCCTGCTTCTCTGTCACTCACCTGGGCTTCCAGCCGCCTTGGCCATCTCTAGCCTCCCTCCTGCCGTGTCAGCTGCACGGGACATGTCCCCCGTGTCCCCAGACAAGTCTGAGCCTGTGCGCCTTTTGCCGTGAGCCCATGGCTGGCTCCCACTGCCATCAGGATGAAGTCCAGGTCCTCGGGCGTGGCCTTCCCACCTGGCACTGGGGTCTTGCTTCTGGCCCACCTGTCTGTCGCTCCGCCCCCCACTGCATGCCCATGGCACGGCGCCCGCCCAGCCCTGTTTCCCCCGAGCTGCCTCCTGCTGGTTCTGCCCCAGGGGGCGTCCAGCTAGCTCCTCGAGGGCAGAGGCTGGGCTAGACGCCTGTGTTCCCTCTCCTCCGCTGGCTGTCCCGCAGGCTTCGAGTGTAAGCGAACGGGCGGATGTGCCTGTGGGAGCGGAGTGAGTGTGTGTGTGACTGAAGCAGAGAAGGAGGAACGAGCGACTTCAGCAGCCCGAGCCGGCGGGAGCAGGGTCCCGTCCCTCCCTCCGCCTGAGAGCTGCTTCCCTCCGCGACTTGGCCTCCGGTGAAACGAGAGGCAGACAGGAAGGGGAGCTGGGCTGTCGCCCGGCGACCTCGCGTAGAGGGTTGAGAGGCGGGGGCCAGCGGCCGGAGGGACTCCGAGCCACGGCAGCAGTGTCTTCATGGGACCCTGTCTCCTAGATGATGTCTGTCCTCATGAACACCATCGTCTTCGAAGACTGCCGGAACCAGTGGTCGGTGTCCAGGCCCCTCCTGGGGCTCATCCTGCTCCATGAGAAGGTGAGCGGGGCTGCAGGGAGGGCCTCGGGGGCGGGCCCTGGGCGGGGCAGAGGCCGGACGCTGGGCCATGCTGCGACGGAGGGGCCCCTGAGCTTGAGCGGGGAGCTCCAGCCCCCAGGGGCAGAGCCGTGCTCCCCCGGAGGCCTCTCCAGTTCAGCAGAGGCCTCGGGGCCAGCTCCCCTGGAACCCAGAGCTCCCACTCGCGGGGCGGGCGGTGTGCCCAGCAGTGCTTCAAGCCCGCCCTCGTCTCCTGCCCCCGTTCCACGGGGATTCTGAGCAATAATCCTGTTTTGCCCCTTCCTTGGCCTCCTTTTAAGCCTGGGATCCCTACTGCCCTGGACCGCGGCAGCAGCCCCTCAGGGCCGCGCCAGAGCCAGCCCCTTCACCCCCGGGGCACGCGTCTCCGGTCGGTCCCGAAGTGCCCGCCGCCGCCGCCGCCGGGGTGGGGGGCTGTCCCCAGAAGCCCCCCCGCCCCCCAGCAGTGGGCGGGAACAGGGCGCTCCTTCCTGCTCGGGAGAATGAATTGTCTGTACAATGAGATGGTACTGGGGGAAAAGACAGGGAGATTACAGGCAGGCGCATACATTAAAATTCAAACCGAAACCCCAGCCTTGGAAGGAAACTAATGGAAGGAGAAAATATATCAAAAAGAGCAGCGCCGACTCATCACTCACCTGTGCTGAAGTATCCAATTTTAGCCGCATTCGGGAGCCCCGCCATTCATCTTCCGCTGGCGCTGCCGTGATTTAGATCCAGGCTCTATAAAGGAGAGCAGTTCTTTTAAAATGATTGAGAGGGAATAAGGGCAAATTCAGTGTTTAGAAAAAGCTTATGACATCACAATATTATACTTTACTGATGGAGGCAATATTTCACAGTTTGGGATGAAAAACTAATAATTTTCTATTTGGTGTGAGTCACTGCATCATTATAAAAAGGAAAAATAAGTAGTTCTGTGCATTCCCAATCTTGTTCAGGGAGACAGTGAGGTTTACATCTAATGTCTCTGATATATAGTATTTAAGTATTAGTCTGACTCCATATTAATTATGTGTGTTTTTGATGTGAGCTGTTTTAATGTATGACGGGAATTAAATACCATGCCGTTTGGGCTGGGAAGGATAAACTCACGACTGGCAAAACGCTGTCTTTGTGCCCAAATTAGGCTGCTTCCGATCATTAGGGGCCGTGGTTAGCATGAGAGGTTTTGTTTGTGCAAAACCTCCCCGGTCCCCGAGAGGGGAAGGGGCTTTGCGGGTCCCGAGTGACCAGGTAGGACAGACTGTCCCCCCGGAACTAAGCAGGCTCCTCCCGTGCCCGCGTCCTAGGATGCGGCCCCATCCTGACCCGGAAGGGCAGGGGCTGGAGACAAAGCCCGGGGTTGTTGGGGGACGATTCCCTGAAGCCATGAAGAATGACAGGACCCTGGGCCGGGCCGTCAGTGGCCCCAGCGTGCTCCCTGGGCGTCAGTGCCGTCCTCCCATCCGCCCGAGAGGCCCTGCCTCTCCCGGCCGCCTGCCCGGTCCCCGCAGAGGCAGCGAGGCCTCCGTCAGCCTGAGTCGTCCAGTGACCACAGAGCAGTCACAGCGAGAGGTTGCCGTGGGGAAAGGGACGCAGGTTGAGTGCAGGAAGGCCTCTGTTGCTTCCCTTCTCTGCAAAGGCTCACGGTGCAGGCCGGACCCGGCAGGGGCTCCCCTGCGAGCCGGGAGCCCGGGCGGCTGGGAGCCAGTCCCCAGCCCCTTCCCCGGGCCTCCCCCCCAGCCCGGAGCCGGAGCCGGAGCCTGACGCCTACGCTGTCCCCCAACAGTATTTCAGCGAACTGAGGGCGAGCCTGATCGACAGCCAGCCTCTCCCCAAGCAGGAGGGCCTGGCCCAGTGCTTCAGGAACCTGATGGAAGGCGTGGAGCAGAACCTGTCCATCAAGAACAGAGACAGGTGAGCAGTGCCCGGTGGGCTCGGCGGCGTCTCTGGGGGAGGTGGGCGTTCCCGGTCCGTGGAGAAGAACTGGGCCCTGCTTAACACGGCTCACCCGTGCGTGCGGCTGTTCTGTCGCACCTCGAACCCTGGCGCCCTTCACTTCCGCCCGGCAGTCGTGACCGGGCGCCCGCTGCCCGCAAGCCTCGGGCCGGGGACTGCACGGGGTGCAGAGGCAGCTTGCGGTCCGGCAGGAGCCATACGAGAAGTGACTAACAGAGAAGCCAAAGAAAGCAGGCTCGGACGTGCTACAAAGGACGAGGAAGGGCTTCCCCGCACGTGAACAGGCACGGGCTTTGAAGTCGGGCGGACCCCAACTCAGATCTCATCCCTGCCCTTTGCAGGCTGCGTGGCAGAGAGTGCATCAGCTTCTCTGGCCCTCGGTTCATTTACTAGTAAAACTGAGACCAGGGTAATAGGCTGTGATGTTTAGACACAGAATGTAGTGAGGAATGGTCCCGAGGACATAGGACTTGCAGTAAATATCGGTTCCCTTGCCTGGCCTTTAAGAGTGGCTGGTTAAAAAAAAAAGCGGGGGGTGGTGGCTGGCTTTGTGACAACAGGGACCCGTGAGCCGCCCGGGAGACCTAAGAGGAGCCGCACTTAGCAGCCATGCCCACGTTCTCCGTCCATCCATCCGGCGCACGGAACATTACGGAGCGCCCGCCGTGCGCCCGGCGTGGGGGGGGTACCCGTGGGGAACTGACTGTTCAGGCAGCTTCTGCTGGAGAAGACGGACGATACGGAGTGACGTTTGCAGGGACAACAACCACCTGTCCCACCCTCTGGTGAAAGCGGTGGCGTTCAAGGGCCACACTGTCGGAAATGCACGTCGGCCGTCCCGGTGGCCAGTGTGTCCTGGAGTCGCCGGCCCGGCTCAGCTAGTGCGAGGCCTAGTGGAGGCGCTCTGCGGACTCTCCCTCTGTTCCCTGCCAGGGCACCCCCCCAGGCAGAGGAGGGCAGCCGGCTGAAGGCGCCGAGTGGGCAACCCTCAGCGGGCTTCCCCGGGGCTGGGGAACTGGAGTGCCGCCCGCGGGCCAGCCCTCCTCGCTCCCGGGGGCCCGGCCAGCAAGGCCGGTGTTTCCCGAGCACCGGCTCTAGGCTGAGCACTCGCAGGCATTGTCCCAGGTGAGGTCTCGCTTCCCACGGTCCTGTGGGGTAGCCGCCCTGTCGGGCACCCACGCACTCATCCGAGATCACCCAGCTAAGGGGTGGTGGGGCCAGGGCTTGCGCCCGGGCGGTCTGACCCAGTGCCCCGCTCTTGAAGCACTGAGGGCGGTTTTCTCATCTGTAAAAGGAGATACCATTGCCTACCTTTGGGAGGACTTCTGATGATTATGAGAATTCAGGCATAAGCTCAACCTGGCACTTGAACTTCAGTTCTTTATAATCTCCTGTCCCGTCAATTAGAAACAATTTTTAAATAGCACAACCACAAAATGCACCCTCAAAATGGTCGGAGTGGTTAGGGTGGTGACCTGCATTTTCTGGGAGGGGGCGGTCCTGCTGGTCGGAGTGGAAGGGAGGAGCCTCCGCCCAGCCGGACCCGGGGCGCTCTCCAGGGTGCTGAACGCCACCGTGGCTCCGCCGGCGGGACACGGGTGCAGCCTCGCCCGGCCGCCCTCAGCCCTTCCTTCCTCTTCCCGCAGGTTCACCCAGAACCTGTCCGTGTTCAGGCGAGACGTGGCGGAGGTTCTGCGCGGCGACAGCGGCGACGGCGGCGCCGAGCCCTGCGGCCTGGACATGATGAGCTGACACGGCTTCTCGGGCGCGGGAGCGGCGGCCTTTCCGAGAGACTCGTGCGGCCGGGCCCAGGACGGCGCGGCCGGCCAGCCCGGGGAGATCTATTTTTCAAAACAAACAGCGACAAGAGCCCTACCTTTTTCTAAGTCCAGCCTGATTGTAAGAATTTATACTAGTGCAGATTCATTCTATGTAAATTCATTCTTCGCTCCGAAAAAGCAAGAGTGTTTTCAGCCTTTCTATAAAAACGTCCTTATCTTTGTTCTTACAATGCTCCGCAGCGGTGTATTTAACCAAAGAACACAATAAACCACGTTTGCGCCTGAGTGTGGACCCGCTCACGGTCCTTCCGTCAGAGCCGAGAAGTGTCGGCGACGCGGCCTCCGCCGCGCACCCCAGAGGGAGACAAAGCCCGCTCGGTCCTGCTGCGTGAGCAGTTCGTTAGGCGTCTGGGGGGCGGCACGGGGGCCGCCGGCCGTGGGCGCCGAGCACGGGCCTGGGAGCGCTCGGGAGCCTCCACGGGGCCGCACAGCCCCCTCCGCCTCCGCGGCATCTGATAAAGCGGAGAGACAGTAACACAATTAAACGGCTTACAAACAACGTTTGCTCTGCACGGGCATAAATCTGCAGCGCTCCGGTCTAGGAGAATTAAGCTGTGCGATCACTGCCCGCAGAGACATTTCTTCAGGAGGAGCCAGGCCACGGGGTGGGGCGAGCACCCCGTCCTCCCGCCTGTTTAATCCCTACGAGACCCCGAGGGCGTCGCACGAAAATACCGGTTGGAGGCAGCTCCACCTCCCTGGGCCGTCCAGGACAGCCCCAGGTACCCAAGTGCACATCTTGGGAGGCTGGGGAGTAGTGGGCTTCCGTCCCTCCGCAGAAACGCGTCCCCGGTGGGACGCACCCCCAGCACAGGAGGGGCCCTGTAACCAGGCTGTCCGTGGGGGGTGGCTGCCCCCGCCAGGCGGCCATCCAGTCTCACTGTCTTGTCTTCACGGTCCGGGCTGGCAGGAACCGTTGGGCCCTTCACTTCTGGTAAGAAGACGGGAGGCATCGGCCTTCCTGTTGGACAAGAAGTCAGTCCACAGAACCCCGTTTTCATCTCGTTCCTCAGACCAGTGGCCGCGGGAGCCGCTCTTGAGAGCGGAATTTGGGAACAGGCTCGTCACGTAAAGGCAGAGTCAGCCAAGTTGACCTCAGAACGCCTGTCTTCCGCGCGCCGGCCCGGGAGACCGGGGGAAGTGTGTTCTGGATAGGGCTGCTTCCGGTGTCTCCTGGGCCTTACCCTGCATTTCCTTCGCAGTGAGAAACACAGAGTTTTTCTGGAGGAGGCAAATCCTGAGCTTTATAACACATCAACTGAAGAAGCCCCACTTGAGGAGTTCTGTTTTTTCAGGGACTTCTTACTGCACGTTCACCCCACAAAAAAAAAATTGCTTCATCGAAGGCCTCTGCCTGTCTGGCTCAGTTTTCTCTACAAAAGCCTAGGACCCGGAGGCACAAAAGCATTTGCAGTAAAATGCTCACGAGAAAATGACAGCGTGCACTTGCTTTTCCTCGCCACACTGCCAGAGGTCAGCGGCTGGGTCGCAGCAGCTGTGGAAGGCCCCTCCGCCTTGGCCTTGGAGAGCTGCTCTCCGGCCACTCGCCAGGCCAGGCCCGCCCCACTGTGGCCCAGTGGCAGCGGGGCCTGCCCATGGGCTGGACTCGGGGCATGCGTCCAGGCGGCGCACGCAGGCTGGAGCACGGACCCGGCGGACACTGATGGAGTGTCCACCGTGCCCGTGACCTGTGTTCCCTCCCTCCCTCCATCCTTGAAACAGCCCCGGGAAGGTAGACCCCATTGTCCCTGCCAGTGGGAGGAGGACACCAAGACCCCGAGCTGGCACACAGCTCTCATGGGTCCCACCGCAGGGCCGGAGCCCGGTTCGGCCTCGCCTCCAGGGACTCGGGGTCTCTTCCGAGGAAGACAGTGGTGAGCTGAAACCAGTTACCGTGTACGTCCGTTTCCATTTGTTTTTCGGGACTCGGATGCTTCCCAGCACACCCCAAAACGTAGTGGCTTGGAACGACGGTGGTTGTGTCACAGTCCTGGGGGCCACGGAGTCCGCAGCCAGGTCCCCTGCTCCGGGGGCGCCCAGGCCTCAGGCACGGTGGGCAACCGGGGCTGCGATCATCAGGGGGCTCGCCTGGTGAAGGACCTGCTTCTGCAGCCACCGGCGGCTGGCAGCGGGGGTCCGTCCCACGGGGACTGGCGGGCTGGGAGCCCAGCTCCTTGGCAAACGGGCCTCTTCACGGGCAGCTCACGCGGCAGCACCCCGCTTCAGCGGAACAAGCGGGAAAGAGCCGGAGGGGGCAGCGGCCTGGGAGTCACAGCCTCTTCCCACCCGGTCTCCGCAGGGGCGCCGTCACTCCGCTCCGTCTGGTCCCTAAGACCGCTGGCACCGGCTCACACCCACGCTGGAGGAGGGCCGAGGGCGTGGGTGCCAGCAGGCGGGGGCTCTCGGGAGCCATTTTCAGAACCGCCCACCGCACCTCTTACCGGCCGGTGCTAGAGAGGTTGCGTTTGGCTGCGAGCTCCTCCCTCTGAACCCGGAAGGGAACCCTGATTTTCCTTGGAGGGCTCAGTTCCATTCTGCACCCTTCCTGAGGGGAGAAGAGGGGGCGGGGGAGCTGGGGCATTTCGGGGACACATCCTGTGCGCTCGTCCCCCAACCAGTGGGAACCTGACCCCTGACTGTGCCCCCCCACACCCCACCCCGCCTGCCAGAGTCGGCCTTGGCAAGGGACACAGTCTCCCAAGGGTCCGACGAGCATTCGACGGCACACCCCACCTTGCGGGGCCGACCCCAAAGAGCAGCGGCTGGATCTGCCACGTGCTCCATCGGGTCCGGGGTGTGTCCGACTTGCTCCGATTCAGCGGCGGGAGGGGGGAGAGAGGGCAGACAGCGTGGGGGGTGGGGGCCTCTGCGGGCGCCCCTCGTCCTCCTGGCGAGAATCTCGTGTGCGGACACGGGTCGCTCGTGCACACGGGGCCCCGCGCCCAGCCAGCTGCCCCAGCAGACACTCGGGCGAGACGCAGTCTGTAGGTATTTTTTTGACATGGCTCATTTTGTGTCTCCAACGCTGACTTCAGAACCTAACCCTCGAGGAGGCTGTATTCTAGACGCTTCCATTTTTCTGTGCCTTCCCGTCAGGCCCCTCCAGGGTGGGAAGATGAGGAAGCTCAGGGCCCCAGCACTGCGTGACGATCTGAGAAGCCCGGAAAGCTCTGGGCCCAGCCCCCGAGCTCCCTCCCACGCTCAGAGCGCCTGTGTGGCGTCACGGTTCCTTTGCACGCGCCGGAGGTTCCTTTGCACATGCAGAACCGTCCTGGCACGTGGCCACACGCTGAGATCAGTGACTAGAGGAAGCACCAGTCGAGAGCTGAGCATGAGAACAAAGGACAGGATCGCTTTGGAGAGAGAAACTGGGGAAATCGTGCATGGAGGGGGGCAGACGGGGCACCAGAGAGCTCAGCTCCGGTGGCGGCGAGGAGGGGATGGTGCCCCCGGCGGGCAGGGCAGGGCAGGGCAGGGCAGGGCGGAAAAGGAGAGGACGAAAGTTCCGAGACAAGCATTAACCGATTGGAACCACTCTCCTGTGCTGCGCACACCTGCCCGGCGCTGTGGAGAGCGGTCTCATTGAAATTTAATGCTTCCCCATCAGAACGTCAGGTGAGTGTCCTCTTCCCCATTTCAGGGGTCGCAAAACCGAGTCTGGAAACCTGGCCGAAAGCCACGTAGCTAGAAAGTGGACGAGCCAGGATTCAAAGGCACGTCCGCCTGATCCAGAACTCGTGTTTCTTTTCTGCCTGAATCCCTTAAACTAGGTCTTCACAGCCAGGCTTGGGGAAAGTTGGGGGGTGAGGGGCAGGGGGTTGGGGAGCAGGGTGATCTGGAACCTTTTGGGGCTTGCCCCCCCCCCAAAACAAGGCCAGTCCAGTCCCTCGGCCCCCGGTGTGGTGTGTCTGTGGTTTCTGCCACCCATTCCTCCTCCCCCATGAACTTTATAAAATCATTCTGAGACTTTTTAATGTTTTATTGAGGTGTAAGTTTATGATGACAGCAAACCTTTCAAACTACAGCAAGAGTAACCTGCCTCCTTGGCATATTAAAAAATAATGTTAGTGTCGATTTTTACGTCTCACAGTTCGGATTGCTGATAAGAGCGCTTCCCTGACAAGATTCTTTCTGAGGTTTACAGAAAGCGTAATAAAATATGTAAGTTACATTTCCACAAACAAAAGCTATAACATAAGTTATTTATAAGTGTGAGATACCAACAGTATCACGATAAATAAACCATAAAGCGTACCTGCAACATCCATCTTAATGTAATTTGCCCAACAAAAGTGTTGAAACGAAGTCAAATTTAGTGGAGAAATCTGTCAGGAAGAGAGGAAAGTTGCAGAACGCAAGACGGGAGAAGTGGCTGCTGGGCGGCGGGAGCGAACCCCAGGGCACGTTCTGGGGTTCGCAGGCCCCACAACGGCCACCGAGCGCGCCTGCCCTCCGTGCCCGCTCACGCATCGACCCACCCCCGCCACCCCGGACACGCTGCTTCTGCACGGGGCCCTGCTCACACACACACGCCCTCTGCGTCCTCCGCCAGCCTGCCTGCGGGGAAAGGCCTCTCCTCCCCTCCCCCTTCTCACCGCACACCCTCTTCTAGCCCCCCGACCCGGGAGCCAGCTTTCTCGGGCTGCTGCCCGGGCGCACCCCCAAGGCCAGGGCCCCCGTCTGACTCAGCATGCGAGGATCCTGGAAAGCATGCATTCGCTCATTCATTCCCCCATCACAGAGAAAGCTGGGCGCGAGACGAGTCTCCGTCCTCGGCTGGTGGGCAGGATAAAGAGGATCTTGGATCCAAAGGCAATGATGAAAATCAACAGGGGTGAAGCATTCTGGGCAGTGGGACTGCTGAGGGGGATGGGCCGAGAGGCCTTCGCTGGCCCGGGGCTTCAAGGGTGGACGGGCACCAGCCCGAGAGCTGGGGGAAGTGAGCATGCAGCGGAGTGCCGGCCAGTTCCCGGACACACTTCTGACCCCTTCTCCCCAGACCCTGGGCTGGGTCCCAGGACGTGGCGTCGAATGCCGCAACACTGTCCTGCGTTAAAGGGGCTCCGAGCCAGCGGGGGAGACAGAAGTGAACCCCACCACAGCCAGCCCTCACCCCACCCCTGGGCGACCCTCCGCTAATTCCTCTCCCCACTGGGTCCTGGGACTCAGAGTCCTTTCTACCCGCTCCCGGGGGGAAAGTGGGGGATGTGGCATA